ACAAAATACAACAATCTAACATGGACAAAATTCCTTTCTGCTATTTTAAATGAAGTTATTTCTATTTATTCAGTGTCTGGAGACCTAAATGTGAGTCTGGAAAGAAAATGTTATAGTAGAGTTCTGCAATTGAAGTCTTGAAAATATCCGGGAACAGTTTTCAACTATTATTAATCAAATTGTACCAATGCTTTTTGTAAACACTTGAAATTTCTGCTTTTTGAGTGATAGAAACTGCAGCAGAGTTCTCTTATCAAGCAGAGCACAGTGCTGCATTTGACATGACTCTAGCAAATATGTGCTTCCTTCACAGAACTGGTTGGATTAGTTATACAGATGCAAAACAACAGGTTGACAGTTTAGCAAATTATCTGCCTGGCCCATATAGAAAGCACTGAAATTTCTAGTTTCCACAGAATTCTTTGCAGTGTCAGAGAGCAGTTGAATGGCATTTCTAGTCTGTGATTTAAGGCAGCTGGTGGCACAACTATCTTAGGAGAGAAACAGGCTCCTAATGTATCACACGCACCTAAACTGCCTTATAGATACTGCATAATGTGTGCAGGTAAATTCATTAAATATCTCTACAACAGTATGAATATAGATTTAGAAATGCTTAAAACAATTTAAGGATCCAGATAAGTCAGAGAGAAGAAGCAGAATGGGAGGCTATTTCAGACACAGAAGGAAGGCTATTTCAGTTTCACGTGTAAATACCGCTCATCAATTGTGCATCCTAGTGTGTGTGTCTGAAGAGGCTGGTGCCCTTGAGGAGAGGCGAGATTATCACCCTGTCTCCCAGGAGTCATTTAAGTAATTTCCCAGGATCTTGGGGCAGTGAGTGGGAGACTGGTTGAGATGACCACTGTAGGAGAATTGAACAATTTAGAAGAAAGAATTAATGTCTTACTGTTAGAGGAAGTGCTTTGGAAGTGAGGTGGCATGAATTTAGAATCGCTGGGTTGGTGGCTTAAGGGATTCAGAGTTAAGAGTCAGAATAAAGGGTGTAGATTCACCCACAGTCAGGGTGGTCCCTAGGACAGGGAGAAACATCCCTCCACAGAGTGAGATGGGTGAGATTTCCGAGAATTGAAAGATTCTCACAGTGGGTAAAACTCTTTGGGTTTGCTTATCTGGAAAAGGCAGAGCGAGAACTCAGAGCCCTACTTTAGAAGACCTGTGAGATGATTTCAACAAGAGGAAGTGGTTGGAAAAGGGGAAGGGCCACGAGCAAAAGATGGATGACCATCTGCCAGCTGCCCTCCTGGGGCACTCATCTTCCCTGGCAGGGTGACTAGAAAGAGCGAACCCAAAGCACAGTTTGTGGTGTACCTTCTCCTCTACCTGGAACACAACAAAAAAGCTTCCTTCTTCTCCTGTGAGCCAAAGTAGAGGGTCTGGTCAAGAATGGACCACATGAGTGAGGGGTGAGTCAGTGTTGTTTTTCCCTTTGGTAGTTGGGAAATTAGCTTAAAAAATAAATGCCTAGGATGTTGGGTAACACTTTTCCTAGCTCTGTTGATTATGCACCTGATAACCTTAAGAAATGAGGTAATATCTCCTCACTCCTCTGCACTCCACCTCCACCCCTGGACAAAGAGCAGACTTGCTGTAAAATTAGTGGGTTCCCCAGGTTCAGTATTCCTCAGCGATGAAGCAACCCTCTGCACGTGCAGGCATTCTTTAAGCCCATCCGTGTTGTCCCCGTGACACTTGAGGACAAAAGGAACGAACACAAATGTGCTGGTGTTCATGATGTTTATTGTGTCATGAGAAATGAAGTCCTCTGTCTCAGAATACTCAAGAGTATTCTGCCAATCTCCATAAAATAATAAGTGGTAAATTTATTAGGTTGTAGGTAAGGTAATCCCAGATCCAGCATATATTATTTTATCTGCACATATTTCAGTACATTCTAAGAGATAAGAACTCTTTAAAAAACTTAGGTAAGATGGATAAAGTCTAGAGAACTACTGTACAACATTGTTCCTGTAGTTAACAATATTTTATTGTGCACTTAAAATCTGTTATGAGGAAAGATTTCATGTTAAAGTCCTTACCAAGGTTAAAAAAAACCTTCAAGATACTAATATCACCTTTTTTAAAAAGACAATATTATTCTTTAATAGAACTGAATGTTTCTAATCGTGTTCAAATTTCTCCAACTCTTTCATTTTTTACATTACATTCAATAGGCATCCAAATATTTATATTGGGTGATATGAATCTTTAAAATTTTTTATTGTAGTAAAATATCTATACATATATATCATAAAGTTTGTGATTTTAACCATTTTTAAGTGTATGATTCAGTGGCATTAATTACATTCACAATGTTGTGTAACCATCACCACTTCCTATTTCTAAAACTTTTACATCTGTGTGATTTGAATCTTTTGTATCTTTTAATCTATTGGTTTTCCTTTTCCCTCTCCCTCTGTTTTGGCTTGCAATTTATTTGTTGACAAAACCAGGTAATTTCTTCTATGTAGTTTCCCACAGTTTGGATTTTGCTATTTTTATAACTGTTTCATGGACTTCCATCAGGAGGCATATCGTGTCCGGTTGTTTCTCTTTTTGTGATGTCAGCAACCATTTATGATCATTGTCTAGATCCTTTATTTTTTAGAGATGCAAAATGGTGATATTTGAGTTCTATTACTGCTTTTAATAGCTCTAACACTTCCATAGAGGAAACAGGCATAGTGTTCCATTATATATATGTTTATTCGATCTGTCTAAACAGAGTATTTCATAAGTCAGAGGACCCAATTTAGCAAAAATAGTTTTATTGTGATTGGTTTTCAACCATAAGAGAAGTTTCTTGTTGTTGTTTAATTCTCACAAAGGGTACAAGGTATGCCCAAGACTAAAGCAGCTTTTGTGGAAAAGTTAAAAACTACTTCCATTTGAGTAAAATTTTCACCCTCCAAAATAATTTCGGTTACTAAAGTGAGTCTTTTGTTCAAAGGTACCCTGGAGTTATTAATCTGGAAAGAAAGCAATCTTCTATGACAAGCAGTTTCCGTCTTCTTTTCTCCCAAAGAAGAGTGCTGAGAGCTGGGGAGAGCCTCCTCTCCATGTGTCCTCTGGTTTTTTTATGCATGATCTAAAATTAATCACAGTGCTGTTTTGGTGCTAGTCCATGCCAGGATGGCATATCAGAATATTTTTTTAGAGCAACATTGAGGCACATCTGTTCAAGTGAATCAGTTACCAGCTCAGATGACTCATTTAGGAGGAATAAGAAATTCAAAAGCCATCATATGGATTGAACCACGTGATTCCTCTGCCTCTAAAGATATTAATTAAGCTTTTCTTTTTATCCACACCATAACATCTGTTAACTTACACTTGGCATCTTGTGAAACTTCTGCATGCAGGGGAAAGGTCATGTGACAAAACTTTAAAAAATTTTAAAATTTGGAGGGATTCTCTGTGTGTGTGTGTGTGTGTGTATGAGTGCATGCACCTGTGTCTCCAAAGAGAGTAAACTAGCAAGTCGTATACATATTTAATAGTATAATGTAATTTTATGTTGGGGAAAAAACTGCTATTTTCCTACTAAAAATAAAAGAAAAAAAGAAAGAAAAGCTCAACTAAATTAGAATGATTTGTAGGGGGAATGACTTCAAAATCCCACTCTCTGCAAAAGCCTACTTGCTTCTAAATCAAAAAGTGAATGTGGATAGCATACTATCTATGTTTATCAATGCAACTTGTTTGTTGTAGTTATCTATTGCTATGAAACAAATTACTCCACAATGTAGTGGTTGAAAACAACACATATTTGTTATCTCACAGTTTCTACATGTCAGGAATCCAGGAACAGCTTAGCTGGGGGCCTCTGGCCCAGGGCTGCCATTCAAGCTGTGGGCAGGAGCTATAAAGTCATCTCGAGGCTTGACTCAGGGAGGAGCCACCTTCAAGTCCCCTCCTGTGGCTGTTGGCAGACCTCAGAAGATCCATTTCCAAGTTCAATCACATGGGCCTCTCTGCGGGGCTGCCTAGAGGCTACTTCAAGAGCAAGGATTCCAAAGAGAGTGACAGGGGGCACCCCAGACAGAAACCACAGAGGGACATCCCGTCATGCCTTTCACATTCCATTCATTGGAAAAGAGTCAATGAGCCCAGCTCACTCAAAAGGAGAGGGGACTACACAAGGGCATGACTGCCAGGAAGCAGGGATCATTGGGACCATCTTAGGGGCCGCTTACCACGGTTTCTTTACTGTATGTGCAATTTTTAAAAATAGACAACACATCCCCATAGTTAGAAATTAAAACCTTATAAAGGGCATGCAGTGAGTCTCCCTCGTGCCCCTGTCACCCAGTGTGTGTGTGGGTGTGGGTGTGGTGTGGCCCGGCCCCAGCCAACCTGGGTCAGTCTCTCGCGTGTCCTTTCAGAGGCCCTCTGTCGGCCACTAGGCTGAAAGCGGGACTCCCCAGGGCGCGCAGAGAGGCGCCTTAATCGTCTCCCCTGGGTGCTCCAATTCAAACCTGCTTTGCGGAGATAACTCCACTCCCCGTGGGTGAAACCGGAGGGGGTATGATGACTTCTCGTGCCCCTCTCAGATAAGGAGGAGCCTGCCAGTTATTTTTAGTCATAACATAGTTTCCTGTCAGACAGGAAGAAAATGCTGGCTAATAGTCAGTCTCTGAACTTCAGGTTCAAATGTCTGCGGGCCCTCTCCCGCCTTCAGGCTGGGGAGGCTGCCGTGAGAAAGGGCGGAGGCCTGTGGTCAGCTTCCCTCGTTCTCTGTTTTGTGCTTCACTTTCCCCTCACCGGGTAGCTTGTGCTGCCCAGGGTACGCCTCCTGCCACTTGGCGCTGGGGTGGCTTTGGGAAGCCTCCTGGGCAAGGCCTGCCCAAGGCCACTTTAGGGGGGCTGGCTTTCTTCCCCTCTCAGCCCCCACCCGGCCCCGGGAAACCCTCACACACCCTTCAGGATATTCTAGACTCTGGAAAACTGACTAAGATGGTTCTTGCCCCTGGAGGGTTTTAATTTCTCATACTGTCTCGCTTGATTCCTTTAGGAATTATATCCTGGGAACAGGCACTGTCCAATGTATCACCCCAGGAGTTAAAATCCAGAAGAGGGGGCGTATCTGCTGGCTGATCAAATGCTTGTTTTGTATGAGTAGGAAGTGAAAACCTTTTCTTGTAGAACATACTTGCCACATGCTGAGACACCTTTGAAGACAAAATAATTATAGTAATTAAGTCTATGAATTCTTTCAACAACCCGGCGTACTCTGCTTAGCCACCGATGGCAGGGAGGCTGAGGTAATTTCAGGTATGGGCATCCAGATAGTTGTGGGGTTCACGAGTCTAGGACACAGTGGGCTTTTTCTTTCTCTTGGATTCATAGTGTTCACTGCGGTAAAACTGGATATCAAGGGGGTAGCAACTTTCTAGTTCCCTAGTTTTGCTGTGGTTCATCTGCATACACAGTTATTTCACTCTGAGTTCATTCCACCTTTCCCACTTCAATGATCCCACAAGAGGTCCCACAGACACCCCACTCCACCTTCTCCAGCACCCAGCTGGGCCTTCTCCTGGCTAAAGGCTGGAATTCTTTGGGCAATCTCAGCGCACAGCTGGCCTTCAGCAGACTTTGCGTTGAGACAGAAACGGAGCTGTTATGGGACTTGGTGCCCCAACACTAATCATTGGGCTCCTACACAAGACCCTGAATGGGACCCAGGAGATTTCTGTAGTGCTCACATTGTCACAGCTCAAATCCAGCGTCCTCCATTCTCAAATATCAGTAACTTTTTTTCCCTGCCCCTTTCTTTATATGCTCAGCTCAGGCCCACCCGGAGAAAGGTTTCCTTCTTCTTAGCAGGCTCTCTGATGGAATGTTGCCTTTGATCCCTATTTTGGAGCCTGAGACTTTGTTACCTTACCCACAAAGATATCTTGTCTAATGAACTCCTGCCTGCTCACCTCCTAAGTCATCCAGAGGTTACTCAGAATCTCCCAATTCCGCTGCTTCGGTTGGACTCCTGGAAATCCCCAATCCCAGGGATTCTACCATTGTTCTGTTTGGTTGAATGTCTGGCATCAGCTGGACCCCCCCTTCTATGGAAGCCCTATCCTGTTAATTCTGGCAGATGGGCATGGATCTAACAGCTCAGCTGGGCTTCATGGAAGCACTTATACCTATCAGATGGGAGCACAACAAATGACTACAGCCCCGTGAAAATGATGTAGGGGGTAATGCTAACAGCAGGTGAGAAGATAAAGAATGATTTGAAGTTGACCTCTCTGACATTATAAGGTCAAAAAAACAACAAAACTCCAAAGGAATAAGTCAGAGCCAAAGTAAAAACCATGTAGTGTAATTTAAGTATGCCAAGAGATATAGTGTCCTCACTAAAAAATAAATCATTTAAAAGTGAATACCATATTGTACCATTGTACCAATGTTAATTTCTTAGTTTTGACAAATGTGCCACATCATGTAAGATGTTAACATTAGGAAAAGCTGAGTGAACTTCCTGCTATCTTTGCATCTTTTCTGTATCTCAAATTATTCCAAAAAAACACTTTGAAAAAGAATAACAATGGAAATATTAAAGTATTTGCATTATAAAGGACTTCTTTACTTTAAATATAGGCAGATAAAAATGGTTTTTGAAGGACATTTTGAAATCTTAGATCCTGGCATAAACATGCAGTATAAAAAAATGCCCTGTATAAATTCTGGGAAAAATTAGCTGATGCTTCTTGGATTCACTTTTAGAAAATTCATTCTTTCAACAAATAATTTTTGACCTCTTATGGATCTTGCATATTCTAAGCATACGTCAGTCAATAAAACAAATGAAGATCTCTGCCCTCATTGGATTCTTGCATTAGCCTTCCAATTGTTCTAGTGGGGACGGGGGAAATCAACACTAAACATTAACATAATAAATAAATTATATTGTATGATTGAAGATGATAGGTGCTATGAGGAAAAAAAAAGAGCAGAAAATAGGGATAGGAGTAGTATGCATGAGCTGGGCTGTGTACAATTTTAAATAGGGTGATCAGAGCAAGCCTCACTGAGAAGGCAGAGGGGGCAAAGCATGAGGCTCTCAGGGGGAAGAGCATCCCAGGCAGGAGAAATGGCCCTATGGTTGAGCATGCCTCAAGCAGCATCCAGAGGTGAGTGGGCAGAAGCAGTAACTGTGGAGGAGAGGGGCAGTTGAGATGAGGAAGGTAAAGGTGGTGGTGGGTGGGGGGGAGTGCAAATAATGTAGGACTTTGGTTTTTACTCTGAAGGAAGTGAGGAGATATTGCAGACTTTTGAGCAGAAGAGTGACATGGTCTGTTATGTACAGTGACGCACTGCATAACAAGAGGTTTTAGTCAACAACGGACAGCATATACAATAGTAGTACCATGAGATTATAATGGAGCTGAAAATTCCCATCACCTAGTGATGATGTGGTCATTGTAATGTTGTATTGCTCACATGTTGGTGGTGATGCTGGTGTAAACAAATCTAATGCAATACCAATTGCGTAAAATTGTAGCATATATAATTATGTACAGTACAAAATGCTGGATAATGATAATAAATTACTATTTACTGGTTCATGTATTTACTATACTATACTTTTTATCATTATTTTTAAATTTAAAAAATGTATTTATTTGAGGGGGGGAGAAAGAGAGAGAGAAATAGAGAGAGATCGAAGTATTGTTCCACTTATTAATGCATTTATTGGTTGAGTCTTATTTGTGCTCTGATCAGGATTGAACCTGCAACCTTGGCATTTTTTTTAGAGTTTACTATTTCTACTTATAGAAAAGTTTCCTATAAAACTGGGTGTCTGTGTTTTGGTGGCAGCAACCTCATACATCTTGTGTTTACCGAGTCTCTTCATTGCACCATTTTCTCTTGTGTTTGATTTAATCTTTTATTTGTGCAATAACATGCTATACAGGCTTGTAGCCTAGGAGAAATAAGCCAGGTCATACAACCTGGGTGTGTAACAGGCTATATCATCTCAGTTTGTGTAGTGCATTCTATACTGTTCACACAGCTAAATTGCCTGATGACGCATTTCTCAGATGTATCCTCATTGTTAGCTGTGCATGACCGTATTAGAAGAATAAGTCTTGACTGTTTTGTGAATAAACTCTGTCTGGGCAAGGGCAGAGCAGGGAGAACAGTTAGAAAGCTAATGCAGGACTCCAATGAGAGATGGTGGTGCCTTAGATCAGAGTGAACAGTGGAGATGGTGAGAGGTAGTGTGCTAGAGCTGACATGTTCCAGTCTTGAGAGTCAGTTGTCAAATTTTTAGGAAGTTTGAAAGCCAGTTGCTAAATATGCCATTATTAAAAATTAAATTATATAAACTTACAATTAAATACATTATATTATAATATTGAATGTAAATGAATAAAAATTGAATTATATACATTTACAATTAATATATTATTTTGAAAACTAAAGTAATAAATACCTAAAACTCATCACTTCTTAACTGTCTTTACCTAATTCTCTTACTATTATCATTTACTACTATCTCTACTGCCAAAGTTATTTGTGTCTATTCTATCCATATGGCACTTTAAAATGGGGTGCTGCTGTGCATCTCTTCCCAGCTCTGTATCCAGTGACATTACACTAAGAGTCTGTCAGCCATGGTGGGAGTGTTTACACTACAGAAATTGACAGATGCTACAAATCTGGGTTCATTTTGTTTTTAAAGAGAGCTGGTTGTTAAGCACCAGCACACCACTTTGTGCCTTCCCAACTATACCTAAGAATATGTGCTATGACCCATCCAATGTTTTCAGGTTCTCTCACTTCTATCATGTTCCCACTCACAGAGGGAAAAAGCTAATAAAGAGGTTAAGTAGGTATTATGGATATTACAACAGAATAAAAGTAACATATTTCTATTAAGCTTCATACCATTAGTACATATTTAGCTATGAAAAACCTGCATACCTGCGATTGGATCTTTAGTGCTGGCCCTAGCTTTAATCCCAAAGTGCTTCGAAGATGCTCCTCTGTGAGTAATGGCAATGTTTCTCCATCAATTGCATGATCTTTAAATACCTTAGGAAACACAAAAGATGTTAACTTTGCCTCAATGTCTTTTTAAAAAAATTGTTTTATATACAGATATTTTAGTTTTGAAGGAAACATTAAGACTGCTGGGGGAATGACACAAAATTTTACAAAGTTTCTTATTTCAGTTACTCTCTCTTCTGAGTCCCAGTAGCACATTGTTTGTGCTCTCTAATAACTCTTGGAGTATATTATAATTCTCTGTTTATAGAAGTCAATTCTAGCCTGCAATAGTTAATATTTCAGGGCAGGCCTATGTCTCAGTTACCAATGTTCCTATAATACAGTGGCTAGAACATAGTAGAAGACATGCAATAAACATTGCTGGACAAATCAATGAATGAACAAATAGTCTAAATAAAGGGATATGGGTAAAAACTGTCACAGACAAATTTCACCTCTCACATTTACAGGTGCACTGCTTCTTGTGCACTGCCTTAGCTGAATGGTAGACGGAGGAGAGGAAATTGCAGGTGGGAGCTGTCATGCTGGCCTTTCCAACAGGGCCTGTTGTTCTGACCATGCAATGGAATTAACCATGCCTTCCTTTCTTCCAGAAACTAGGAAGGCTGCTGGTGGAGAAAGGTTCCAGACAAATAAGGAGATGGGGGGCGGGAAACTGAGCAGGTTGGTAGTACTATAATTTTATAATCCAACTTCAACCTGTTTGGCAATCCTATATTTACTGATGAACTTTCTCTTCTTTCTATTTCAAGCTTTTTTCACAATCCTCAAACTTTAGATGTTACATAATCCTCCCTTATTTTTAACAGATCATATAACTTTCTAATTAAAAAACACACACCCAGAAACCAGTAGATAAGAACTTTCTCTAATTCTAGCCAACAAACCTGAACACTCATATTTTCTCCTCTGTCTTGACATGTGGAAGAGGGGTCCCTCACTGCTGAAAAACAATCAATCTCTCCACGTATGCTGTGGGTCCTCACCCCTCCCACATCAGGGTCTCACTCAGTAAATAATCCCCTCTCTGGCCTTCAATCTCTCCTCCTTGGCTGGCTCTTTCCCTTTGGCATTTAAGCAAGACTCCACCATCATAAAACAAGCACTAATAATAATGAAAATACACAAACGCTTCCTCACTCCACTTCTAGATACTGCCCCATGTCTCTCATTCCCTTTATAGCCCAGTTTCTCAAAAGAGTTGTGATGTTCTGTTTCCATGTTCTTACTTCCCAGTTATCCCTCAGTCTCAAGAAGTCTGACTTCTGTCCCTGTCTGTCCATCAAACCTGCTCTCCTCTGGGTCCCGGGTGACTCTTTTGTTTCTAAACAAATATCCATGTTTCCCATGGATATTTGTCAGTCTTCATATTTCTGATGCTTGTGGCTGCATCTGACATTGTTGGCTACTCCTTCATGAAAAATGTCCTTCCCTTGCTTTCATGAGGCTTGTCCCTCCTGGGTAAGCCTCTGCCCTCTCCTTTGCATCACCTTTGTGGCTACAGTTTCTTTATCTACCCTTGTGTGTCAGAGTCCCTTAGGCATCTGACCCAAGACCTCTTTGTTGTTCCTGATTTGTCCCAGTCTCTCTCCGGGCTTCAGTGAGTGTCTCCCTATAGGCTCTCTAATGTATATCTAATGATGGAAACCAATGATGGCAATTCTGTCTCTTAGATGGGGTATTTATTGGCCAGCCCCACTGTTTCTACCCTGAATCAAATTCCACTGTTGCTCATCTGAGGAGGCTTCCCCACTAGTCTGGCCACCTTCAACCTATTTTCATTAAAGTAACCTGAGTGACCCTTCTGAAATATAAAGTTAATCACGCCACTTTTGCTTAAAACGTCAACTGTCTCCAGGATAAAGTCACAGTCCATTGCTGGGCCTTCAAGGCTCTTTGTGACCTGGCCTCTTCTCCTACTCCAGTCTCCTGTCTTGCCATTCTCACCTCTCCCACCTTAGCCCTGGCCCTCTCTGGGCCACTAGAAACTGCTTTCAAAATCCAACTATTTACTACTCTAAATTATCTCTGGCTCCTAGTCCTTGCCTGGAAATTCCTCCTTTGCTCAAAATTCCTCCTTTGCCTCTCTCCTGCCTCACTTCCTTCCTCAGCTGGTAAACTCACCGTGAGGTCTCACTTGTGATGCCTCTTCCTGTAGGAAGCCATGAGCCCCCCTGTGTGTTTCTACCATGCACATGCCTGCCCTCGCACAGCACAGTCACTCTGAGGTGGAATCCCTTGCTAGTGTCCGTCTCCTGGACTATAAGTTCCCTGGGAAGAGGAACCATGTTTGTCTTATTTCTGCTGTGTGTTCCAGGCCTGGGAGGACATGCCACAGGTCCAGTTGAAAACAGAATCTTCTTGGGAAGCTTCTGTACCAGGAACTTTGTGTGCTCATATATTTGACTTATTTACAAAATTTATTTATTAACTAATTGTTTCTTTTCCTATTTTATTAAGCAAATCATAGAATGGCTAATATAAATTAACTTAATTTGGGCCAAAGCAAGAAAATTGATAGTTTGGGTTAGTCTTCCAGCCTTCTCTTGGGGAAATGGATGATCTCTCTTAGGTTTTTTGAAATAAAAAGAATAACTTAAAGATCTCTTTTACCACCTTTAAGAACTCCTAGGGGCTCTTGACTAGAAACCATATAACCCAATATCCTCAATGTAGAGTAATTATAATAGAAAGAGCTAGATTTGTAGTCATATACACATTTTTCAAGTACTTACTCTTTTAGCCACCTTGATGTCAATTTTATTTAGCTGCAAAATAGGGTTAATATCTTTTTTGCACAATTATGGTACAGATTAAATTTAAAAGATAATCTATAAATGATGTGCCTAGTACAGTGCCTCACATATAGTTAACCGAACAAGGAATAGGCATTATTATGATGATGTTTTATAGATGAGAGAGCTACATAGGAAAGGTGGGAGGGAAAAGGCTTTAATGAGGAAACAAGAGCAGGACTTGATCCTAAACATATTTATTTCTACTTCTTGGGGTATGGTAGGGAGCACTGACATCCTGTTGGTGAGAGATAACAAGTCAGCAAAGTTTGTGTATTCATGTTTATGTGACTTCCATGTACCCACAAGAGGGCATTTGGGCTGATCAAGCTTGAAATGCATGTAACATTATTTTTTCCAAGAGTGGTTATTATAAACTGCACTTTTATGACTGAATCACTGGCTGATTAATAATAATGAGAGTACAAACAGATTCAATCCATCAGAAGTCAGCAATAAAAAAAAGAAGTCAGCAATCACACGTACATTATACAGGAGGTTGCTTGTTTCTGGCTAATATAATGATTAAATTAGCATTTATTGAGTAGTTACAAAGTGCCAAGTACTCTATTGTTTACAACAATCCTTTGAGAGTGTATTATACTGTGCCCAGTTTACAGATGAAAAAACTGAGACACAGAGAAGAGAGAGGCAACTTATCCTAGATCACATGTCCAGAAAGTGGAAAAGCTAAGATTTGAATTTGTACCTTCTGGTTTCATAAGGAACAGTGTTAGTTACTGCTTTATATAACTTGTTCTATAAGTCTCGTAAACAGAACAAAAAATTAAAAAGAATTAACAGCATTACATGAAGAAAAATATTCTCAAACCAAGATCTGAAAAAAAATATTTCTTATATCAGTTAATTATGATGTTAAATCATAATGTCCTTTTCTTGCTTTTATTTCCTTTAATATATAAACACATATATTAAGACAATGATACCAGATTTAATAGGCACATTGTTGCTTGAAATTCTGTTATCAAATCACTTGAAAAAGTAAACTATTTTCATGAAGATGTAGCATTGACATAAACTTCAAAAAGTTGCCAACCCATGATTTTTGTCACCAATTTTCCCATATGAATGAAATTAATCTTCATTCCAACTGTCCTGACATAATTGTAATTTTTAAGAATGTAGTGTTTATCTACTAGATTGAATTATATATGACTATGCAGTTTTTTATATTGTCCTAGCATGAATATAGAATTTAAAAACAGTTTAAAAAAAACAAAAACAAACAGTTAATCTCCAGCTCTTCAGATCTATTGCCTTCTTGTCCTTTTTAAAATGAAGTGTGTATTTTCATTACCTATTATGAGTAGCCTAAAACTTCTGGTAGAGAGTTTATGTGCCGCCCAAATGTTTGTTTACGGATGAGTAGGGGAGGTAGCAGACATTTCTCATTCTTTTTCATCTCTGGCCTCTGAATCCCCTCACCTGGAGAGAATTCCCACCTCTCAGGAATCTTGATGGAACAGAAACCAAAGCCAGACATGGTCTTTCCCAGTTGGGCATGGGCACGGGACCCCAGCTCTACCAAAGAGAGGCTCCTGTCCCAGGGTAGCCAATGCCATAAAAAAGGGGAAGATATTTAGGAATCCTCTCTGGGGGCAAAATGCAAGTTTGACTGAACTCATTATAGAGGAAATATATTTCAAAGTACCTTACTTCCATGAAAATACTTAAATTTAGGTCACCTGAGCGTAGTCTGAACAGCCCGGCAGGCCACTGATGAAGCTGTGCACATCACTCACAGTCCATTTCTGAATATCTTCATCCAAAGACAGAGTCTCCCCACTTGTAACCAGTACATGTGTTCCTTTAAATTGGAAAGGAAATTATTTTGTGGAATAACATTTCCTGGGGAAAGGGGGGCCCTAAGAGCACCATTTTATGTACAGTTACGTTACCTTCCTCATATTTTATTACCACAGAGTGATCCCTTTGTAGAGATCTACATGTAAACTCCTTAAAAGGTATTAAGAGTTATTGAGAGATGTTTTCCAAAAAGCTTAGCTGCCTCCTTTCTTTTCTTCCTCTGAAAATCTTTAATGACAGCACTATCTTAAGTAAACAAAGAAGTTCAGAGTGGCTTCTCTCAGATCCAACAGAAATGCCCTGTGGATTTTGTTCTGCAGATTAATACCACTGTGTCCTATGACATTTTGTGATTTATCATGCTATCTAGGTGACATGGGGATTTAGCTGCATCTTCATCAAAATGGTAATTCACACTTTGTAAGGGAAGCAGTTTGGTGGCTAGATCATGACCTCCCCCCCACCCCATCCCCAATCCCTGTGTTTTAAAATATTTTTATTTAAAGAAGTTCTAGAAAACCAAAACTTCAGTGTTTTGAGGGGAGTAGTGCGTTTATACTTTTAGATCAGGGGTATCATTAGCAGTAATGGGCACTGAAAGTTAATGCTTCTGTTTGTCTATTTTTTTTACACTTAAATACAGATAGAATTCATACTTTTAAGCAAGGAGCCTCTCTATTTTGTGTTGAAGAAATTAACAGCCAACTTAATTAAAATTGTAATGAAAAATTTTGGTAGGTTTTCCCATCCTTCATACTTGCCTTCCTAACCTTTGCTGTAAATTCTCTACATAGCAATACTCAGAGATGAGTTTCACTGATATGGCTTCTTGGACCTAAGTAATAAAGTGACTTCAAGGAGAGGTAATTCTAAATAGGATTAAGAAAAGGAAAGATAAAAGGTAGCGTGATGGCTTTAGTTCACTATGCAACTACTTAAGGACTTGCGGACTTGTGGTTCATGAGAATCTGCCATTGCCCATGGGCTCCTGGATACCCACCTGGCAAAGATGGTTGAGGAACTGGAAAGTAAACGCCATTCTTTTCACCACAGGCTGCCAAAACCTGCTCTGAAACCTTCCCTCTCCCACTGTCCCAGGCCTTTGCTTCCATTGGAGCGCCATGAGCTCCCCAGGGTTTTCTATGGGTGAGCTCCAACTCTCCACAGGTATTGGCAAGGGCCGTAGTTGGTTTCTCGTTGATTTCACTTGACTTCTGGTTGTTGAAAGCTTCGGTTTCTGGGTCTTTTGCATACTCATCCCCTTCATAGGGAAATACATGAACCTGGCCTATGGGTTTTTCTTCTGCTTGACTTTTGGAACTTTCAGTATCACTGTCTAGAACTTTCTGATTCCCTGCACCTCTTCTGAGACGACGACATTTCTGACCCCAGCCCTCTAGACAGCGTGGACCAGTTGCCACTAGCATGGGATTTCCATGAAGACTTCTCATGGAGCGTCTGTGCAAATGCAGGTCACTGGCAGGGAGCATGCTCCTGCCATGGTGGGTGGTTAGGCCAGTGGGGATACCGTAGCTATAGAGGAATGGTATCCCCAGGCCTGCTAATCCCTTGGGATTCACTTGTTCTATTTTCCTTTGCTGGTAAATTGCATGCATTTCCATTTCCATCCTAAAAACAAAGCAATGCATTTTATACAACTCAAGAAAACCGTTAGAAATATAATTTTGTGGCGATGGAAGGAAACTTGACTTTGGATGGTGAACACACAATACAACATACAGATGATGTATTATAGAATTGTACATTTGAAACCTATATAATTTTATTAACTTCTGTCACCTGAATAAATTCAAAAATATTTTTTTTTAAAAAAATATAATTTTAATGGCCCTCTGCCTTCCTTAAGATAGTACCTCTATTTTTCTTATGAGTCTTCACACTACTTATGTGAAGTTTGTTGGATGGAAACAAGAATCCCCTACCAAGCCACTGAGAAGGAGAGTTTGGGGTAGGTCTGAGGGTGAAAGGCATGGCTGACTCTCACAATGGAAGTCCAAGGTCAGTCTATAGAGACTTACCTCTAACAGACCTGACAAATTTAACAAGTTTGCTTGTAAAATTTATATACATTTTTACTATAAATTAACAATGCAGCACCGGGTATTTTCTTGCCAGAGGTTAATCCTCAAAGAAACTAAAGTTCTGGAAGAGGCTTTTAAACTTTGCCATGCAATTTTAGTGGGACTCAAGAACTGCAATAAGTCAATGCAAGTTTCAACTATTACAAATTACCGCAAGCAGCAGGGGTTGGGGCAGGAGGAGGAGAGGGAGAACTTGGTGTTTTTGCTTCCTTTACTTTGCTTATTGGTCATCGCGTGGGCCCCTTAGGTTCAGTGACGAAAAAAATTGACCCCGATGCCTTCTTTCCCCCACAGGCCATCCCCTAGTCATTACTGCTATCTTTCCTTTCTCCTGAAGGCCACAGTTGGGTTGACATGGGGGGCTGCCTGGGCTCTGCTGACGTTGTTTAAACTGGGATTGGCAAACTTGGCTCCTATCTTTGGGCAGAACTGAAGTCATTTAAGACAAAAATGCAATATGAATTTCAGGGGACTCACAGCTAGGCATTTTAATTATGAGACACTGACACACTATTACGGTCTATAAATTTAGCCTCACTTTGCAATTTCTAATCTTGCTTTTATCCTTAATCAACCTGTGTAGATATGTTTCTTTTTTATAATATCCTTGAAATATTTTTATAACTAATTGTAAGTAATCAGAGTGTGTGTGCATATATCTATATATAGAGATACATATATAGATACATATAAATTCATTCAGAATGTATATATACACAAATATAACTTCATATGCAAATACAACTATATACAAATATAATAAATTAATGAATGTATATATAAAACTATGTGTAGCTCTATCTATTTACCTATCTATCTAAAACAAATGAATGAACAAACAAGTGAATGAATAGAAAATAAATAAAGCAACACCTTACTTTACCTGGCAGTATGCTGCCTTTGAATCATTTCATTCCTTCTGGCCATTGTCTTTAAGGCTTCAGGTGGTAAAATGCCCCAACCTTGAAAAAGAAAATCGCCACCCCACCCCACAAACAGATTAATAACATTCACTTGCAAAGAATAAAACAGAGGATAATGGTTACAACAGTATTTGCAAAACACAGCCAGCTGAGCCCAATGTGGGAAACACTACCACTGCTCGCTAGCATCTTAGGGTCACGTTGGTGAGGGCATCATGGTAACACTAGACCTTTTCTTTTCTTTTCTTTTCTTTTCTTTTCTTTTCTTTTCTTTTCTTTTCTTTTCTTTTCTTTTCTTTTCTTTTCTTTTCTTTTCTTTTCTTTTCTGGATGGGTCTCCTAATTGGTGACATTTCCTGTCATCTTTCAAAAGGAAAAAGATGAAATAAACTGTGGATCTCTTGATCTCTTGTTTTTGAAGTAAAAATTGATAGCTTTTTTTTCCCTTTGGTACAAAAGGAATTAATTGACCTTCAAAAAAAATGTAACTAAGTGCTTTCTGATGCACCGAAGTCCCTGGAAATAAATGCCTGAGTTAAAGATAAAATATATAGGTCTCCATGTGGGTGCTTTGGTGTATCTGAGGAAAAGACTTTTTCTGAAGCTGTTTCGATGGAGGTGGGTAGCAATGGTATTCTTTGTTTTTGTCAACCTTCTAAAATGTCTTGAAATAATGGGAGCATAACCAGAATTCAAGGCTCTATTCTTGCCTAGTAACTTCACACTATATTGATTTTTTTTCTTTATCTGAACTCCTAATGCACTTAGACTCTATACTGGTGCTTCTGAAACCATCTATGGTGAGAGCATTTTTTTTCTTTTTAAATTTTCAACCCATCATGGACCAATGCTTTTTAAAATACAATAAAATGATCTTTTAGAAAACTGAAATGAAAACAAGAACAAATACAAGCAAAATTATTTTTAAATCATTAGATTAATAGACATAAAAATGACCCTGTCAAATTTTTATAAAAGTTTCTAAACCCTTTCTCTCTATTTATACATTTATTTGTACTAACATTTCACAGACTAGCACAGGTTCACAGAACACATTCTAGTAATAATAGAAACACAAATTGTACTTACTATACATAGTTTTGTTCAACTATATTTTCACTTGTGTAAATCAGTTCCTCCCAAAAGGAGGGTAAGTATTATGAAGGCTAGAACTGCTTCTTATGCTTGCTCTATACTGAGCTAGTAGAGCTCATTAAACTATTAATAACTAAACCACACTATATCTTTTTTGAAGTTCTTTGTCATTTTTAAAAATCAGAAGTTAGATAAGGTGACCTCTAAATATCCTAGCTCTAAAGCTCTATATGTTTATAGCTGAGTGGCTTCCAGATATTCTCTTTAGCCAGCTAACGTGCATGAATATGCCAGCTCATGGTGTACTGCCCAAGGATGCAGAGAAAGCCTGAGTAAGAAGTCCAGTGTAGAGAGCACAATTCTAATCATTTAGATTTTAGGACCTTTTGAAATCCCAGCCCAAGTTTCTTTCTCTTTTCCAAATAAGTGACCTCAAATTTAGTGCTAGTCTAGCTGTAACAAGTCACTCCCTACCTAATATCCCAATTTTTGAAATAGACCCCTGTCTTAATTTCTATTTTGCTAGCTGACTTAGAAGCTCAGTTTCTATAGGACTGCGGCCCTATCTGGCTTTTGCTTACTTTCCTACACATCAGCCTGGAGGTGGGAAACCTGACCTATGTCCCTGGGACAGGTGATTAACCTGCCTACTTGTATCTAAATATTGACATTTTCTGAATTCTTCATCTCTAAGATGGACACTCTGAGTCTGTGGTCTATTTATCTGTTGTCTGTAACCATGGCTATAGATTTACTGGGTTCTTACTGCCATATGGAATAAGAATAAGCTTCCATCCAGAATAAGCTGTCTTATTTGGTCTTTGGGCCACTCCACTGTGGGTGTCCAGTTTCATATTTGATCTTTTTCTGGACACCCAATCTGACGGCAGTGAATCCATGCACTGTTGCAGCTCAAATCCAGACAGGCCAGTGTCTTCACTGGCCCTGGTACAAATTATATTTCTTCTTGGGTCAGGCTTTTCATTCACATTGTTCCTATCTATGAAGACTTGTTGGAGTTGGGAAGCAGGGACAAACAGAAACTCTTGAACGTGGCTTTGGGGAGATAAAATGCATCAGTTTGATCTTCAATATGGTGAGGAAATTCTCACCTCATAGTCTTTCTTGAGCCCCCACCAGTCATGTTTTCAGTTACCACTCTACTGAAATGGGCCTTAACAAGATCACCAATGACCTCCACGTAGCTAAATCTAATCATATATTTTTAGTCCCCATTACTTGAGCTGTGCATGGCATACTTGACATGGTTGCTCCATCTCTCCTTAAAAATTGTATTCCCTTTGCCTTCCAGGCCTCCATATTCTCCTGGCTTTCCTCCCACTTCACTTGTTGCTCCCTCTCTCTTCCTTGCTTGTTTCCCACATCTTGTCCACCCCGTTGGTGTGTCCCAGGGATCACTCTTTTAACTTCTATCCACACCCACTATATAGGTTATCTCATCTAGTTTCCTGTATGCTGATAGCTTCCAAAATTATCTTTTCAGTGTTTCCAGAAGTCCTCCCTGGCCTTCAGCTGCCTTCCTGACATCTCTCATTGATTGTCTACTAGGGATCTCAATTGTAATATGAACAAAAATGAACCTATGATATCTCTCCTGCCCCAAGATCTCTGCTCCTCTCACAGTATTCCTCAACTCAGTAAACAGCAACTTCACCTTTCTGATTGCTCAGATCAACACTCATGTCATCCTTAACACTCCTTCTCTCGCATCTCAGATCTAAACTGAGAAAATCCTGTTGTTTATGCCTTCAAAATAATTACAGAATTCAGTCACTTCTTACTATTCTTACTGTCACCACCCAGGGCTAATCTATTATAATCTTTTGACTATTCTAATAACCCATTTACTCCCATCAGTTTATCCTGAGAACTTTGTCCTATTAAGTTTGTCCCCAAAGATCCAGCCAGGGTAGTCCTGGTAAAATATAATTCAGACCATGTCACTATCTTGTTCAAACTCATCAAAAGCTTCCTTCTCTTACTCAGGATAAAAGGCAAGTCCTCACTGTGACCTGTGAGGCCACATATAAACTTCCCCAAACCCCTTTTAACTCTCAGATTTCATCTCCTCATGACCTCATCAGTTCCTTACATGTAAGATAAGACAAATAGTAATATTGCAGATTTTCATGTTATTCATCAGTAAATTTATGATTGGAGAAGTGAAGCAACTTACACTTGATCACGCAATGGTGGAACCAAAATTTAAACCTAAATACTAACTGCACAAACTACAAGTGTAACTGCTACATCCTGCAGACATCCAGTTCACAGTGAATCCACAGATGAGAGCCATCGATTGCTCATACCTGAATAGACATGATTGGGCATCATGTTCGGCATATTTGCATTTGGTAGAACAGAGGATCCAAATTGGGATGGAACACAAAATTGTCTTGGGTCAGTTGAAGCTACAGTGAAAGGCAATATATCTCTAGGAAGAAGATATAAAATAGATAAAATGAGAATGGAATTGTACAAAATTGCCATTGCATAGGCAATGAGTTTTGTTTTGTTTTTGTTATATGGGATTCTATCATCTCTTCCCAAAATGAAGTATAAAAGTCCTATACTCTCTATTGGTTCAAGTTGAAATATGGTAAGAAAGATTAGGAGGAAGGACTACTAAGGACAATAACAGAGAAAGCAGGAAAGAAAATTTTTAGGGATGTCTGAAAGAAAAAATCTGATTTTCCATGACCAACATAGTGTTCTTTTAAAAAAAAAAAAATTTAATGATCTCTGAACTTTTTATTGGCCTCCTATTCCTCCCCCCCTCCAAAAGGTTTCCCACTTCAGATCTTTGGTATCATTGACCTCAGGCACTACTTTGCCATCTACAATTCTGTGGGTGATAGTGTTTTGGATGGGTTGCCTGAAGTTGCTGTTGTCCAAGCTGTCATCAGGATGAAAGTCCTCTCCTTTTTCCAGCAGGCAGTGGCAGATGGTGATCTCAGCTTCCAGCCTGACCTTGATGTTCAGCAGGACCTCATACCCCTGGGGCTGGGGCTGTCCCTCTGACCCAGTATAGGCAAGCTCTGACTCCAGGTGCAGCAGAATCCCATTGAGCTGTTCCATCTGCAGGGCATAGCACATCTCCACCTCTCTCAGGCTGTGTTCCAAGCTGGTCTTCAGATTTCTCATAGAATCCAGGTCGATCTCCAAAAACTGAACTGTATGTCTCAGCTCCATGAGTGTCATCTCAGCAGCTCCTATCTCAGTGGTCTGTGAAGTGACCACAGTGATGCTCTCCTCAATCTGCTGGGACCAGTACTTGTCTAGATCCTCTTAGTTCTTCTGAGCCAGCTTATCATATTGCTCCCAAATGTCTGTCATTATCTTGCTGAGGTCCTGAGATATGAGAGCATCCAATTCCTCAGTCAACCCATAGTTGGCAATCTGGTTTCGTAGACCATTTACTTCTTCCCAGTGGTTCTTCTTTATAAAGAGCAGCTCCTTTTGAGAGTCTTGATCTCTGTCTTGTCTCTGGCTGCAGCCAAGTGATATTGTCATCAGTTACCTTTTGGAGACCATTGATGTCACTCTCCACAGACTGGTGCATGGCCAGCTCTGTCTAATACTTGACTCTGAAGTCATCAGCAGCAAGGCCAGCATTGTCAATCTGCAGAACAATGAAGGCATTTTCTGCAGAAGTTGCAAAGATCTGAACCCTCACATCCTCGGTGGTTTTGAAGTAATGCCCACAGCCTTTGACCTGGGGTCTCTTCTTCTCCAGATGTTCCCAGAGTTTGCTCTCTAGTCTCCAATTATCAGCCTCCAGGCTCCTTATCCACTCCAGGCAGAAAGCCAGGTGGTCATTCAGGCATCGCATAGTCTCCTCACCCCTATGCCTGCCAGGTCCCTAGACCCTCAGCTCATGAAGTGGAGACCCAGGAACTCAAGCCCCCAGCACCTGCATAGATTTTGGCCACACTGCTGGTCACCCTGGCTGGTGGCTGGGTGACTGCAGAGCCCAGAGTTTGGTAGTAAGTGGAGAAGCTGGGGTGGGTGCTGAGCTAGTGTTATCTGGGGAGAATGATGAGAGGCCAAGTCTCAGGATCCAGCCACCCCAACAAACTATTATAACCACAGTATTCTTTTCTCATTTATCGCAGATATTTTACTTGGGTTTTGCCACCTGGAACCAAAGTTTGACTTCCTAGGTGGATAATTTATTTATTTTGCCAAACTTCAGTAGTCTCTAGAAGTCAAATTTATTGTTCACACTCCATGAACAAGAATAAAGAACAGATTTTGACCTTTTCTTCAGAATGTCAAAATATTCTAAAGAAGGTAAGATAGGAAACTGCCAGAGTGTGCAAGGTAAGTACTGATGATGTCACTTTTAGAATTGTTCTATCACAGGAAATCCAGTTATTATGAACTAAATTGTGCCCCCCTAAATCCATATGTTGAAGTCCTAACTCACAGTGTGCCTATATTTAGAAGTAAGGCCTTTAAGACATAATTAAGGTTGAATGAGGGCAAAAGTGTGGAGCCCTAATCCAACAGGACCAGTGTCCTTTTAAGAAGAGGAAGAAATACCAGGAGGGCACATGTACAGAGAAAAAGGTCATGTAAGGACATACAAGAAGGCAGCTGCCTGCAAGCCAAGGAGAGAGGTCTCGCCACAAAACCAACCCTGTCGACACCTTGATCTAGGACTTTTAGCTTCTAGAACTGTGAGAAGTAAATTTCTGTTGTTTAAGCCACCTAGTGTGTGGTATTTTGTTATGGCAGCTCTCACAGACTCTACCAATGTTTGCACCTGCACAGTGCCTGTCACATAGTAAAAGTGCTTGTTATTAGCTGAGTGCGTCGAGCAGGCCTCAAAGGGAAAATGATGAGAAGTGTATTGAAGGGACAGCTGGCAGAGGATCTTGATGTGAATTACTGCGCCACTGTTCACTGATAAAACATTAGGCCATAAAACAACACTGGGGTTTAAATCATTCAAAAACTTAATGGTTATTCATGTTTTCCTTTGGCCGTAATATTATTTTAGAAAGAAATACCTATCCACAGTAGGAGTTTCAAATGGTGAGGGAACCAGTGGGATCTTTTGCTGCCCTGATGCTGTCAATAAAGGGTTCATGGCCATCGTTGGATTTATCATCAATACCTCTCGCCACTGATGGAATTCTAAAAAGAACCAGATAAATATGTTAATAAATAACTCTACTTTTTGAGAACTATTTGAATTCTTAAACGCAATGAACACTGTTCATATTTTTCCAACACTTGGGAAGACGAGCTGCACCAACCTTTCAGTTACACAAAAACCCCTCCATTGTAAGCACCCTGATACAACTGTGGAACTCAGTGTTTTACCCATGTGCCCTTGAAATTTCTGGCAGAATCCACAGGTAATAGCACACCACACTACAAGCAACAATAAAATTAAACCAGCCTTGCAAGATTCCAGAAATACCAACTTCCCTTCTTACAACTTATTTTGATTTGTATGTTTCCAGAGGTAAAAATGCATATACTCTCCCTATGCTTAATCTTTGGAAAAATATTCTCATTTAGTTGATAAGATTAAAACCAAAAAGAAGAGAAAAAAATCTTCTTAATTGCTAACAGTATGTCTAATTAGAAATGATACAGGTTGAAAGCATGAGACTATTTAATTAGAACAAGTACCAAGTTATATTCAAACATTCATAAGCACAAGGATTCAAAACTTTATCTTCAGAGCCTAGTGATCAGAAAAGGAGACCCATGTTAAAGGAGTAAATTTTGCTTTACATTTTCTTGTTAATTATTAATGTCCTTTGAATAATTTTAAATATTAAACAAATATGAGTCAAACAGGTCATTTTAGCTTCCCCTTCATCTTCAGTTGTCACTCAAAACAAACAAACCAAAACACAAAACAAAAAAACAAGATGCCTACAACTATATTTAAAAAAAAGGAAATTAGGAAAAAAACTTTGCTTTTCAAAGTAGTGATCTTTCATACTTTCTATTTTTCTTGTGTGCATATTTGATTTAAACTTTAAATAGTTAATACATATATATGATTCAATAACTAAAAATATAATGGTAGTTATATAAGCAATCACATCTTTAGATTCTTTATCAGACTTAAACCTACTGATCCAACTGAAAATTCAAATCCATGGGTCACTTAGCATTTGCTTTTGCCATGTATATATATGTTTTAAAGTTCTTTACATTGATTTATTTTCACTGTATTTTTGTAAGGATTAGAATAAAACTGTCTGCTGGGTGCCTGCCAGCCATGGTGAGAATGCCAACAAAGAATGCAGGCTGGGTATACGTCAGACATGGGCTTGCAGTTCTGGCAAGGACACTGCCCTGTGGCTTGAAATCTCAGGTCCTCCACTGAGACTGGTGCACAGCCACCGTCTTCCCCTTAGTCTAGCACACAACAGAACAATGAGGGATATGACCTGGTGTTTCATTTTGAAACATTATCAACTTTGATTTCTGTCACAAATTGTCTTTTGAAAAAGTTTGAATTTACCAATGAATGAGATCCAGTCTTGAAATTATAAAATATAGTGCTCATCTTGCATTTTATGTGAGGCCTGGGACAAATCAGGAGGAAGGAATAGGAAGAAAGGGAGCAGTACAGAATTCCTCCAGAGCAAGGATTGCCTAGATGTCGACCACCCCTCTTCCTCACACACGCCAACTTAGGGCAATGCCATGAAGATTATTCACCCAAAGTAGATGAGACTGTCTTATTTGGGATTCCCCTTAAGCAAGCCTTGAGAAAAGAGCTTGAGTGCAGGTAGTTTATTTGGGAGGTGATCTCAAGAAGCCCACACGAGGGAGTGGGGAGGTGAAACCAGGAAAGGAAAAACCAATAAGGGGTGAGTTACGTGTGAGTTACCACTGTGGGCAACTGGTGCTCAACACTGCTGGGGACCTTCTAAGAAACCTTGTGGTACACACCTCAGAAATGTTCCAATGAAAGACAAAGTGTTGCCTATTTACCAATCAATTTCTCTCAGCACACTTCTCCCTCGCATCTGGGTTATGCCTGATCCTGATCCAACAAACTCTGTGATGCAGGAGAAAGCCTTCAGACTGAGGAGTTGAGCGATGCAGGTGCTTGAGATAGAAAATGACCTTCATGGTTGCAGGTGAACTCAGATGTGGGCCAAGGGGATATGGGATAGCATAGCAACAGTGTCTATCTAGTGCAGGTGAGGCAAACTGGTTACCTTCTAGTGTCATTCCACTAGATAATCGGCACAGATGCTTTCCTTCTGGAGTGCCAAGTTCACCAGGCACAGGCATATTTCTATGAGGTCCTGTAGGGTCCATTGTCTGCAACAACACAGCAGAATTTTTTTTCAGTTAGGCATGTGTTCAGTGAAATAAGTAGGGAACACAAAGCTATTAGTCTAATGGAGATGAATAAATGAGGTGTCAGAGACAAGTCTCATCTAATTTAAATCTAATTTAAAACATTTTTGGTACCATACCTGTTTTGGATTCTATGGTTCTTGAGCCTGGCTTTCTCTCTTTTGCAATGTCAAGGGAGTTGAATGTAATCTATAAAATGTTGTCATACTTTTGATATGGTAGTTTATTATTTTTTAATCGATCCACCAAATTTTTAGTTAAAATGTAAATTATTTCCAACGTCTAGGGAAATATCCCTATGTCATGGAGGTCTCTGGGGAGGACAATGAGTCTTTGACATCTGCCACACCTAAGTGTTATGATTCTGGGCTCCACTTGGCTTTCTTAGTTTCTTTTCCTAGTTTCTTTTATGAGCAAGTGCTTCTTTACTTACCACTATCATATCTATTGCTGCCCAAATTTTCTTTAAAAACCCATTACCAGCCCTGGCTGATGTGGCTCAGTGGTCAGAGCATTGGCCTGCACATTGAATGGTTGAGGGCTCGATTCCTAGTCAAGGGCACATATCTGGGTTGCAGGTTCACTCCCCACCCCTGGTCAGGGTGCATGCTGGAGACAACCAGTTGATGTGTCTCTCTCATATCGATGTTTCTCTCTCTCTCTTCTCCCCTCCCTCCCTTCTTCCTACTTTCTCTGAAAAGCAATGGAAAAAGTATCTTCAGGTGAGGAATAACAACAGCAAAAAAGAACCACTGCCTGGTGTTACAGACTGAATGTTAATGTTCCCTGACCCCCAAATTCCTATGTTGTCACCTAATCCCCAATGTGATGGTGTTTGGAGGTGGAGTCTTTTGGAAGCGATTAGGTCATGAAGGTGGAGCCCTCGTGAATAGGATTAGCACCCTTAAAAATTAGACACCAGAGATCTCCCTGGCCCTTCTGCCACACGAGGACACAGCAAGAAGATGCCCATCAATGAACCAGGAAGAAAGTCCTCACCATACACTGAATCTACTGATGCCTTCATTTTGGACTTCCCCCCTCCAGGGGATTTCTGTGTTTATAAGCCACCAAGACTACAGTATTCTGTTATAGCAGCCTGAGTGAACTAAGATACATTTTTCCCCATGTTATGCCTGTCATCTTTTGTTTGTCAAAATTATATATGTTAAGATTCACAGCAAAATTGAGCAGAGAGTACAGAGAATTGCCATATACCTCTCCCCAAAACCAATTTGCCTTCCACAGCATGGTACGTTCATTACAATTGATGATCCTACACTGACAAGTCACTATCACCCAAAGTCCACAGTTTACCTTAGGATTCAAGCTCAGTGTTATACATTCTACAGGTTTTGACAAATATATAATGACTTGTATGCACCATTATAGAATCTCATAGGACAGTTTCATCGACCTGAACCAAATTATATTTTAAAGCAACTACTATCAGGACACTTCCAAGGAAATATTTTGGGACTGACCAGATCTTTCCCTTCATCAGCCAGATAGATACTTAAAGTTCCAAATCTATGTTTCGGAGATATTGAGTCATAGGACCAACCCATGAGTCTTTATATACTAATTTTCACATTTTCTGGGTATCCTCTTTATTAAAAACAAAAAAAACCCCACAGGTAGACAAACCCCAAGGTCACTTTGCTATGGCAGATGAAATGCTCTTGAGTCAACGTGCAGACTGGGGTATCCGTTTTAAACGCAGAGCGTCTCCGGTAATCCCAAATGCGGGAGGGCGCTGGTGCTTAGGTTTGCATTCGGCTGGATTTCTCTGACCCCGAGCCCTAATCCAGGATGCCCAGCACTTTAGGAGGATGAGGGCTCCTTAATCTCTGTCTTCAGGCTCTTACCGTCAACAACTCCTTCAGGCAGCACATAGGCGACTTAGCTAGTGCTAATTCTGTCTCAACTGATTAGGGCAGTCGTAGTAAGACATGAACTTTATGAACTAAAGCCCTTGCCAGATCAGCAGATATTTGCTGAACGCTTGCCTGGAGCACAGCAGCCAGGTGCAAATCCGATTCTATTTCAGTTTCTCACTGGCTATACTATGACCGTTCATTAAAGTCAGAGCAATTTGAGTTTGGCCAAGCCTGATTTTGAGCAATTATACAAGAATATCTGTTGCATGTATGATGCATGAATTCTAGGATATATTTATTTTAAATAAATAAATTTTTAAATAACTGCTGCATTTGGTAAGTTTTTACATTTAAAAGGAAGATCAGTAGGATCAAGTGTTTCTGGGATTCTGAAAAAATAAATATAAATTCTTCAATTAAAATTAGAAGTGTCCTTAGAGGTCTTTTGTTTATCCTCAGTATCTTCACGTATTCACTATGTTAGATGTCCTATATTAATGTGAGTTCTGAAAAGCATATTAATGCTAAAGCATATTTCACACTTCCTTAGGTATATTTTAGTTTTTAAAAATAATACAGGGGAAATCATTTTTAAAATTAGGAAGGCTAAATAAAAGAGCTGCTCCAAAGCATTTCATTATCAAATACAGAAAAATTAGATATGATAAGAGATATCATGCTAATTTCTCATAGCTATAGTTAGAAGTGTGACAAATCTATTTTTATATCCAATATGACAAAAAATTTTAAGAATAGTTATATAAAATATTGTATAAAATACTAATTATTGTATCATTATTCAGAATACATTTGTTAATTGAAATAAAATTGAAGGCAAGACTAGATGAATAATTGGGCATAAGATATTTAACTGTTCTAATTGTGGAATCACATATTTCTTGAGAAGATTGCAAGGGAATTCTAAAATTGTCCAAGCACTCATTTCAAGTGGAAGAAATAGTTTAAAATATCTCCAACCCAAAAATGCATCACAGTCATTTATAACAGGACAAATGATATTGCTCTTTAAAATGTGAGTGGCTGTCCTTTCTGCCAGAACTGCCATCTTTCAGTAATTTGCCAAAATGACCAACACAAAGGAGAGAGGAGAGGCACCCACTATATGTTCTCCAGGCCTTTTAGAAAACACAGAGTTGTTCCTTTGACCACATACATGCTAATCTACAAAAAAGGTGATATTGTGGACATCAAGGGAATGGGCACTGTTCAAAAAGGATCGCCCCACAAATGTTCCCCTGGCAAAACTGGAAGAGTCTACAATGTCACCCAGCATGCGGTGGGCATGGCTGTGAACAAACAAGTTAAGGGCAAGACCCTGCCAAGAAAACTAATATACATATTGAGCATATTAAGCACTCCAAGAGCCAAGATGGCTTCCTAAAATGTGTGAAGGAACATGATCGGATAAAGAAGGAAGCCAAAGAGAAAGGGACCTGGGGTCAGCTGAAGTGCCAGCCTGCTCCACCCAGAGAAGCACCCTTTCTGAGAACCAATGGAAAGGAGTCCGGGCTGCCAGAACCCATTCCCTATGAATTCATGGCATGACAAGTGTAAAAAAAAAAAGACCTCTGTACTGATAAAAATGTTTCTCTTAATTGGGTAGAAGTGTAGTATCCCTTCTCCTCTCAAAATAAAGAAAACTTTGTGCCCTAAAAAAAAAATTAAAAAAAATAAATAAATAAAATGTGAGTGACTGATATCACCTTCAGCCCCCATCCCACATCTTCTGCAAGACTTCTGCCCATTCCTGGGGGTTTCATCCTGGTGGGCACTTAGTCTATAAGAGTTTGCTCTTGTGGGGCTCCCAGTCTACCCCATGGCTCACTGGCTCAGAATCAGTCCAGATCCCTCAATATCCACATAAAACCACTCACAGTGTGTAGCTGACTTTACCGAGGTCTTGGCCAATTGGAATGGGGTGTGCGTCAAAAACAACTTAAAATTAAACATGCCTTCTCCATTGTGAAACATTCCTTTAGGCAATTTTGACAAGTCAGGCTCTGGTTTCTCATTCTTTATCTTGACCTTCTTTCAGCGGGTACCTCAACGACTCCAAACCAGTTCCTCCCACTTTGATTTGCAGAGGCCTCTCTTCGCTCTCTCCCAGGCTCTGCTCTTAGCCTCTCCTCCCTGGGCCTTCCACCCTGGCTCACTCTGTACTCCCTCCCTACCCCTGCTAGGGGTAGGATGTTTAGAGAGTTCTTTCCTACTGGTCTGAATTATGCCACTAACATCCTACTTTAGAAGGCAACCAAAACTTAATTTTGGTTTTAAATAACAGTAAGCACGTTTTCTGTTATTCTAGCACAGTATAAACAAAAATGAGTTATTACCGTAGTACTGCCAATGAAGACAGTTACTACAGAAGTACTTGGCAGTGGCCATAAAATATACTTCATTTTTACTAAAGACATGTGCTTTAGCACTTTCTAAATGCATCACATCATGGTGAATATACCCTAGAAGTGTTGTTGAAGACAAATGGTATGTGCATGGTTCCCTCACCTCTTATTTCTTTTCATTCTGGAAGCTCATTGTCATTAGATCCACCCATGCTTTCTTGAAACGTAAAGTTCTAGGCACATTTGCAGATACTGTGACACAAAGGGAGAAGCCTTTGACATCATTAAGCAAGCAGAAATTACGTAATTTCTTTTCTACTTGAATTCAACATAATTTCTATGCTACTACAGTTTGTATAAATTATGTTCACTTTTTTCAAAAGATTGTGAACCAAAACCTATTACATGTAAATTTGTACATCAACTAAAGTGAAATTCTAGCACTACTCATATAATTGAACTGAATTCTAGGTGTTTTAGATAGTTTTAGAGAATGAATTAAGAAATATTAACAGAAAATTTTTTTCATGGTTATGATTGTTTGTTCCTCAATGGTTTTTTTTTGAAATTTTCTACTCTGACACTTCATGGTATACACATCATGACAATTTTTGTAATACAGTTATCCGCAGTAGTGGGAGGCCATTAAAATAATAATGTATAATAAATATATAGCAGTAACACACAGAGGCAGGTACTTAATATATTTGAAGAT